ACCAATGACGGTGATTTTAGGAATCAAATAATAATCTTAATAGTCTTAATAATAATAATAATAATAATAATAATAATAATAATGTGGTAAATGTTTTGAACATAGTTAATAACGATGATTATAATGATAACAAAATATTGATAATAAGGTTTATGCAGGTGATAAGAATAACAAAGATAGTATATGTATATAAGTGTATAAATAAATTGGGTCAAATCTTAAAAGGTGAAGTGGAACGATAATCAGAGTTTAAATAAATATTATAAAAGTACAAAGGAGGTGGAAAATAAGAAAGGGTGGGAGGGTTTTGAATACAGTTCACCTAGGCCAAGGGAGAGACAAAGGTAGAACAAACTTCTTTTGTATGCAAAGACTAGGATTGTTCTCTCGAATTCCCATAGCTTCGGCTAGGTGTAAAAGACGGTTTCTGATTCCATTCGAAAGACTCGATGGAATACGATAGATAACTTTGAAAGCACTATTTTTGTCCACTTGGTGACCGCTATCAATCAAATGAGCCAAAATAGAACTTCGTATGGATTTTATTTGACCTTTTCCGAACCATGAAGGAAGATGCTCATTAATGCGTTTGTTGAGCTGTCTAGTTGTTCGCCCTATATAGCTTTCTCCACAGGAGCAACTAAATTTATAGATACACATTGAGGTGGCACAACTAGGTAGCTTATCTTTCACTTGAGCAATCAAAATTGGTCGGCTGGAAAATGACAAACAAAGGGTGGCGGCAGTATAAGTCCGTTTTATCGCTCTCGATAATCTCTGATGTAAGACTTCACTAGCCACGTCCCCATTAAATTGAAGTTTCATGAACAGTTCTTTCTTTTTAACTGTTGTCGGTTTTTCTTTGTTGTACCTGGTATTCATGTGTCTCCTAACAAATCTACTAGGAAAACCCATTTGGACCAGCGTATTTTGAATGTATCCTAGCTCATTTTCTAGGGAATCATCTGTACAAATACGTCTTGCTCTATTCGTAAGGCATCTGACCAAATTGATTTTATATCGGATTGGTACAAAACTGAGGAAATGTGTATATTGTCCTACAGATGTAGGTTTTCTATAGACATCTCTCTTGAGTGAACCATCCTCTCTTCTGCTCAATTGGACGTCAAGGAAATGTAATCCACCATCATGTTCTTCTTCACAAGTGAAGATGAGCGATGGATGTGCATCATTAAACTTTTTTAACATTTCATTCTTATCAGTTTTCACATCAAGAATAATGAACGTATCATCAACATAACGAAAATAAGAATCAGTTTCCTCTATTACTTGTCTCAATGGACCATTTTCAATCTTGGCTAGAAAGAAATCTGCTAAAATTGGCCCCAATGGAGAACCCATGGCAATACCGTCGATTTGCCTGTAGTAAAGGTTGTTGAATAAGAAGTGTACATTCATAGTACATCTTAAAAGCAACTCTTTCAGACTAATAACTGGAATTCCGATGTCAATCTGCTTTTCTAGTATCTGTTGGCATATGAAATCCACAGTCTCCATAAGTGGTACATTGGTAAACAGTGACGCTACATCTAAGGAAAGCATTTGCTTCCCATTTACATTGATATCATTCACGTTAGCAATAAATTCGAAAACGTCTTTAACATTATGGTTTACTACCAATTTGTGTAGCGGTTGGAGGAGTTCACCTAGCCACTTTGCCACTCCATGGTAAGTAGAATTTGACATATCCAGGACTGGGCGAAGAGGAAGTCCTGGTTTATGTATTTTGGGCAGACCGTACAGACGTGAAGTATTACTTCCAGTAGGTTTAAGACGGTTATAAGCTGCCTCTGATATTACTCCACTTTTACTCAGTTCCTTAAGCGTGTTAGTTAACTGCTTTTCAGCCTTTCCGTCCAGATCTATTGGGTTGATAAGCTTTTGGAACTTCGTTTCATCCGTTAAAAGTGAGTTCATTTTATCGACATAATCATACTTATTCATCAGTACTACTCCGGATCCTTTATAAGGTCTACTGATTACAATGCTTTCGTCGTTCCTAAGCTTTCTTAGGGATTCTCTATGCTGTTTAGTCAACAAACTCTTACCAGGATGACCACTGTTTTTATACTGTTGACAACTGTCGGCTAGTGTAGTTTTAAACCTAGCGACTTCATCGTCTGACGTTGGGGTCAAATCTTTTGTTTGTAGGAGGAGGTTTTCAAACTGGATGTTGGTATCGAGTTGGTTGACCTTATATCCTTGGTCACAAAATCTAAGACCCAATGATAGAGCTTCTAACTGTAATTTATCTAGTGTTACACTTGAAAAATTATGGACGTACCGATAAGGATCTGAGGGGAATGAAGCGTCACTGTTTACCAATGTACCACTTATGGAGACTGTGGATTTCATATGCCAACAGATACTAGAAAAGCAGATTGACATCGGAATTCCAGTTATTAGTCTGAAAGAGTTGCTTTTAAGATGTACTATGAATGTACACTTCTTATTCAACAACCTTTACTACAGGCAAATCGACGGTATTGCCATGGGTTCTCCATTGGGGCCAATTTTAGCAGATTTCTTTCTAGCCAAGATTGAAAATGGTCCATTGAGACAAGTAATAGAGGAAACTGATTCTTATTTTCGTTATGTTGATGATACGTTCATTGTTCTTGATGTGAAAACTGATAAGAATGAAATGTTAAAAAAGTTTAATGATGCACATCCATCGCTCATCTTCACTTGTGAAGAAGAACATGATGGTGGATTACATTTCCTTGACGTCCAATTGAGCAGAAGAGAGGATGGTTCACTCAAGAGAGATGTCTATAGAAAACCTACATCTGTAGGACAATATACACATTTCCTCAGTTTTGTACCAATCCGATATAAAATCAATTTGGTCAGATGCCTTACGAATAGAGCAAGACGTATTTGTACAGATGATTCCCTAGAAAATGAGCTAGGATACATTCAAAATACGCTGGTCCAAATGGGTTTTCCTAGTAGATTTGTTAGGAGACACATGAATACCAGGTACAACAAAGAAAAACCGACAACAGTTAAAAAGAAAGAACTGTTCATGAAACTTCAATTTAATGGGGACGTGGCTAGTGAAGTCTTACATCAGAGATTATCGAGAGCGATAAAACGGACTTATACTGCCGCCACCCTTTGTTTGTCATTTTCCAGCCGACCAATTTTGATTGCTCAAGTGAAAGATAAGCTACCTAGTTGTGCCACCTCAATGTGTATCTATAAATTTAGTTGCTCCTGTGGAGAAAGCTATATAGGGCGAACAACTAGACAGCTCAACAAACGCATTAATGAGCATCTTCCTTCATGGTTCGGAAAAGGTCAAATAAAATCCATACGAAGTTCTATTTTGGCTCATTTGATTGATAGCGGTCACCAAGTGGACAAAAATAGTGCTTTCAAAGTTATCTATCGTATTCCATCGAGTCTTTCGAATGGAATCAGAAACCGTCTTTTACACCTAGCCGAAGCTATGGGAATTCGAGAGAACAATCCTAGTCTTTGCATACAAAAGAAGTTTGTTCTACCTTTGTCTCTCCCTTGGCCTAGGTGAACTGTATTCAAAAACCCTCCCACCCTTTCTTATTTTCAACCTCCTTTGTACTTTTATAATATTTATTTAAACTCTGATTATCGTTCCACTTCACCTTTTAAGATTTGACCCAATTTATTTATACACTTGTATACATATACTATCTTTGTTATTCTTATCACCTGCATAAATCTTTTATTTCTCTCTTATTTTGTACTCTATAGTGAACTCCTTCTCAAACTTACTTAGCTACCTAAATTATTAACATTGGCTTACTTTTTGTACTTTACTGTATTTCTTCTTTTGTGTATCCACTGGTTCCGACTCTATTGGCACTATGAGTATTATAAAACTATCCTGTCATTAACCATCATGTAATTATTAGTTTTGTGGTTGTTTTTTCTTATTTTCTATACTTTTCGGCAATATTAAACTGACAATCATTGGTTGTGAACGCCATAGTCACCACCTTAAAATTTTGTATTATTCAGGATTACTCACACTACCACTACAAACACTACATTAGACTTAACAATAAAAAAACAACCCTGAAATGTTATTTCATGATTGTTTAGAGTTGTTTCAATCAAATTAACTGATCATCTTGGCGATAAACATTCTTAAATATCATTTCATAACTTCTTGTATGACTATAGCTTTACTGTCACCATGCATAATCACATCATAGCTTCCACTACCCAATACTGAGATATTATTTATTATGATGTTTATTTTCCTTTCTACTTCTTGGTACTTTTTCGCATTTATAATTATTTTGTGTTTATCCTGTTTTTTTTTTTGCTGTTGGTGCCTTTAGATTTTTTTTGTTTGTTTAATACTCGTTTTAAATGTTTGTAAAATTAGATGCAAATATTGTAGATATGTGTTGAAAATTTCACACTGTACCACTAGTACTGTTTCTGGAATAAAACAGATTATTATTATTATCTATGAAATGTGTTTAGGGTGTATCCTAAAGTTTGTGGAAGTCCTAGTTAGCAATTAGAAAGTTTAAACCACCTCTATGCGTCCATCAAAAACAATTCGTCATCACAATAAACCATCCTTCGTAAACTTTGTTTTGATACCATAACAGATGTACTATTACCTCTGTTATTTGGTTTACTGATCTTCATTGTTATTTTGATCTTCGGTATGTGCTTTTAACTTGACCTAACTTGTCTATCTACTCACCTTTTAATTCTTTATTGATTTCATATATATACCTATGACAAGTACGTGGAGTGTGATCAGATTGTTCGAAATGTGTTATGCACAAATACAACATTACACGAATCAGACAAATTATTTCTTCTTATGGCTTTTTCTAAATTTATTACTGATAATTTTTGTACATTAAGTCATATTTTGATCAAGTCCCTTATCTATTCTTATTTTATTATTCATCCATTTCAGAATTACTGATCAATTCCCTTTTGAGATCAAGTCAGAAGTTGTACAGAAAATGTTATCCAATCCTCAGCACTTATCCTTTCAGTTGAAACTGAAAAATCACCCCAGCTATACATGGACAACTATTAGTTTCTTTGTTCTCATATATGTGACATCAACCACCTTAGCCGCTGCTCCTTTTACAATGAAACGTCCTTTAATAGATTCTCTTCCATCAAAAGGTGAGTTCCAATGTCGGAAATTGAATTATGATATAACAGATTGAGGCCAAGTTTTATAGCAGAATAAAATCAGGTCAAGAGCTAGTGAAAATAAGGAGTACCAGACAGCGGTTTCGTCCGAATGTAGAACTCCCATTACACCATCGGATATAGAACCTAGTGTAACAACAGAAGACAAGGGCCAGGCAACAGATCGTTTATTAGGGAAATCAAAGCATATTTATATATTTTCTTGTACATTATTATAGATTAGTTAAGCAAACAAACACAGTCTTCTGATTGGTTGTTTCTCACTGAAAGTTAATCTTTCATCTATTTGTGACTGTTTCTTGAATGTCAAATCCTCTATATGTTAACTGTATCCGCCTACGCAAAGTCTGCTGTGGTCAGTTTTGAATCAGTCTTTGTTCATATTTTCTCACGACAAATCTTGAGAACGTCAACATTGACGTAAATTACTGTCTACCAATTTGGCTAGTAGACAGCTCTCACCACACTAGTACCTTTATGCTATGGGGCAAGCTTGTTAAACAGTGAAAGGCTGAGACAGGATCCAATACCTTATGAATTTTAACTTGTGTAAATTCCTAATTTTTAACGCCACCGCCAGCTGAACTGACAGAAGAAATATTTACTCTTCAGTTAGATGCTCACACTCGGTTTTACGCCAGCATGCTTTAACAAAATACATTATTTACATAAGAATAATTTAAAATAATTAAAGCCACTGGCCACGAAATGCTTGGCCATAAGAGTAGCTGACATAGAGGGAACGGTTGTTAATAATGTCATCTCTGTCAGCCTTACTTTAGGAGTTATGTTGATACAGAACACAGAATTGTTTTGCAAATATCTGCTTCCCGTAGAGAGTCTTTAATTAAAACTTTCATCAACGGTATTTCATATAACACAGTATCGTTCCATGTGAAAGAAGACTCAGTCATCAGGATATAGTGTAGATTAGAAGTCAGTCAAAAATATGCGTGAGTTCATGTTGATGTTGCGATCAAAAGATACATTTGAAGATGAAAACAACAAGAGACGGAGGACAGTAGATTCATTGCGTGAGGATAAAAATTAAATTGACCGAATGATTTAAGCAAGTCGCCAGTTAAGAGGTGTGTCATTGAGTATATGCCATGTTTTCCACATTGAATTACCGGTAAATTTGCTTCCTATCCAGTCAGTGAATGATTATTGTAATTTTATTATTTTCTTGGTTTCCCAGTGGGAGATTTGGCTTCAACAGCATATTTCCATTTCATCCAGTTCTCTGTAGTCGTCTATAACTCATTCCACGATCACGCGTAGGCCCTCATCTTGTCCTCACTAAATTGTCGTATGCCGTTCGGGCTTAACTTGAGGGAATGGTGAGCTATGCGACTCACTGTTCTCCTCAGAGTATTTCCGAACCATCTCCAATTATTTTGTAATATTTCTTTAGAATCAGGTTCTTAACTGGTTGGTTTTCAGAGTTCCTAATAGCTAATCCTTCCAAAAAGGCCATGCAAATTGGACAGCTGTTGATAAAAGTCTTAAGCCTGTGCTAAATCCTTTTGTGATATGTGCACCAAGTCCCTGATCAATATAGAGCAATGAATAGTTGACAAACTGAGTGAAGTAGATTTTCAGATTAGTGTTGCATAATATTTAAGGTCAGTGTAAGCTAAACTCCGCAATCGATTAGGGAATCATTACCATTATGTAATTAACATTTACCATCGTTTAGTAACTTTGGGGAATCATTTCTGAACTACTTCTCCTTAATAAGTAGTTTGGCAATTTGGTTGGAAATTTGAAGTGTGAAGGCTAGTAAACAAACCCCGTAAAATCAACATCAATACTAATGAGAATCAGAGGCATAAAATCCTGAAGCCTTAAGTTCCATGCGGAAAGGAAATTAATGAAAAAAAATCATAACCAAACCTTCATGGTACATTTCTTTCTCGATATACTTTTGTGAAAGCTAATGGGAACCTAAAGTTTGTCTGACTGCTATAGTAAACGATAACTATTCTTTATTCTGCTTGTTCTTCTGTATTGTTCCCCCACCCTAATATTTCTTGGAATACTTCAGAAAGACGCTCTTACATATCTAAGGGCAATAAAAGTTGTCGGTAAGGAGAGTGAGGTGTCGCTTAACTAACTCCTTAATACTGTTGTGGATAGACATTTGTTTTTACGAGGGATTTACCAGGGATTGATATCAGTTAGAGGATCACTGAAAACCAGCCACAGGGAGTACTGAACAGCCAGCCGTTTCATCCTAGTTTGGGAATCATCATCAGTACGCACCCACTGCGATGGTTTCAATCTAGGAGTCTTCCGGTTACGAGGCAAACTCGTATACTATTCAGACACTACTGGGACTTGATTCAATGGCCAGTAAATGAATTCTGACTTCTACCAATTCGTGATTTAGCACAACTGGTACCAACCAGTGTCATCGGTGAGAAATCCATCCGCACACTTGACCGGATGGACCTCACCTCCAGGAAACTCCGTCCTGTAGCAAGTCACTAGCGAGCTCACTGGTTTTCAATGGTTCGCCAGCTGATATCAATCCGTCGTCAAACTCTTAAAAACAAATCTAATCCTTACAAACCAACCCTTGACAGACATTTGAATTCATCTAAGAAATTGTCAAATATCATCTTGTCGGACTCTAAGCGTCCTTCTTATATACAACTCTCCACTTGCATCTCACTAGGTAAGACTAATGCCATTTATAAAAGCCTCTATACCCGGAATACTGCATATAAAACTCTACGATATCTTATTTAGTAAGCATTTTATGTGATGGGAAAAGTTTAAGGCATGAAAATCTAAGAAGCCAGTTAGTTGCGCTTTCTTTCATCGAAGTGATTAGAAACTGCTTCCATAAAGTGTATAACCCATGAATAATTAGTAGCGGCATGGACAAAACTTGTGGCTGACTCACCAGAATCCTTACAGTTGTGCAGCTGATGATAGGAAACACGACGGTGTGACATGGCAAGCATTGGATGGTGATATAAAGTAAGAGGAGAAAAGTCAATATAAAATACGAAGGGCTCACGAATTCTAGGGAACAAGTTAGTTACGCTGCTTGAATGATTTCGAACTCCTTACCAGTCGGCTTTAACTAGAAATAATGCTCATGATTGCTGTGCAGCCAACCATCCTGCTAGACCACGCTACCCGCCGACTCTTTAGCCTTGCCTACCTAACGTGGTGGCCAGGCTGCTCTTAACACCAACCCAACTACATAAGGGAGAATGTATCCCATATGGTTATTCAAAGATGCATTTATTAACGATGGTATGAAGAGAGTATAGGGATGAACAGTCACACTACAACGCACATTGATGCTACTTAATCCAGTCAGCACAGATTAGTGACCAACTTGACCTTTGAAGGTGAAATGGCTGAGATTTAACCGAATGAACAAACTTCTTTGATCTCCTATAAAAACTGCAAACTTACTGGAAAACACTAGGTAAGCAACCTCTTCTATTCTCTCAATTATTACTATATTGGTTGGAGGATTTCATCATGAGCTGACATTAGTTAGGGAACCATTGGGAAACCAGACACAGGGAGTACTGCACAGCTGTTTCCCCCGTCCTAGTTTGGGACTCTTCATCAGTACGCACCCGCTGCCATGGTTTGAACCCGAGATCTCGTTACAAGGCTAGTGAACTCATAGATCATTAAGCCACTGGGACCCGATCCAATGGCCAGCCAGTCCATGAATTCTAACTTCTGCGACAGGCTGAAGGTGAGGCAGTAAGTCATCGAAGAAGACATTTCGAAGTGGTTGCTCTATGTCATGAATTAGTAGAAGTCAGAATTCATGGACTGGCCATTGGATCGGGCTGGACCCAGTGGCTGATGAATGATCTACGAGCTCACTAGCCTTGTAACCAGAAGGCGCTGGGTTCGAACCGTGACGGTGGGTGCCTACTACTGAAGAGTGCCAAACTAAGACGGGGAAACAGCTGTCCAGTACTCCCAGGTGGTATTCTAATTCTTCTCTAACTGATGTCAGCTCATAATGAAATAATCTAACCAATCAAACTTGAAAATTAATTGTAGTTGAATTTTAGTTCACTAATATAAGAGTATACATTTAGGCCAACAGTCCGCTCCATCCTTCTTTATGGCTGTGAGACCTGACCATTGAGAGCGGAAGACATGAAAGGATTAGCTGTCTTCGATCATAGGTGTCTGCGTTCTATCTCCCGCGTGAAGTGGTATGATAAGGTGAGCAATATTGAGGTTAGGCTTCGGTCGAGTGCTAGGTAAGGCGGGGAAATCAATCGACGAGACTGTGAAATTACATCGACTGAGATGGTTAGGACATGTGTTACGCATGCTAGCCTAGTCATCGCCTTCTTCGACAACGGGCAATGTTAGCTGATAAAGGGTCAGGCTGGAAAAGAGCTAGCGGCGGTTAAACGAAGACATGGAGGCATCAGTCAATGAAATCCACAACAGTTAGTCTAAGCCACGTAGGAAGGTGTAGACTTCCTGATTAGGGTCCTCGGGACGGTAAAAACCAATGGTTGGAAACAATTGGTGACATGGCTCAAAATCGTTCTCAGTGGCGCAGATGCATCCACTCCTTGTGGCTCATGATTTCTAATGAAACTGTTTTGTTCTTCGTTATTACTATTCCTTTGTCTCACACCTCTGTTTACTGTCTATATTATGCATTTCTTCTACTTTCTTCTCTTGCTTTGTGTGCTACATGGAGTGTGGCGACTTGAACTGCCGCACATATGTGCAACGTTTTATGTCAAAAACCGACCGACCGATACATTTAGGCATTGTATTAAATTACTTGATATTCTCAACTTCGCCCAGCTATTTATTTTCCTTCAATTTTCATATCCCAACAGGAAACTTCATCAATCTTTTAACTCTAACAGAACCACTCCAGAATGATTTATATTTCAATCCAACTCATAAATCAAATATCGATTGTGATCACTGGAGAAATTCATATTTAAATACAACTAATGCGACCATATCAACAGACTCATCATTGTATGGTACACCTCTTCTACCGGTCAGTTTTATCGTTGAAATGATCCCTTATCCAAGATTAACATCGGGGCGGTCATTTTTCTTTACTCGCCTGGATAATTACAATCGTATACGTTTAGCGATAGGTATAAATCAATGGGGTAAAACAGGAGAAAGTATGGAGCTTTGGATACATCATGAATTATTCTATAGTATTGAACCAACTCCAAGAATTTCCAGATACTATACTGGGTCAGGATTAGTGAATCATGCTGGTCTTGTCGTGGTGCCATTACCAAATTATCAATATGCGAATCAAGCAAAACCGATTACTCTAATTATTGAAGTATGTTAGTTAAGCGCATTGTTTAAAATGTGCTGTTTTTTGACGAATTTTCAAATGTATTTATTACATGTAGTTGAATTATTGTTGTAAGTGTAGAACTTGAGTTTGCGTTGCAAGGCACAGTGGTAGAATGCTCGACAACCACGCGCCGTGTGGTTCAGAGTTCCATCCTTGTCCACCGACGCACTCCTTGCTACCTCGCTAAACCAGTAATAAGACTGGTGAGGAGGAGGGAAGGTTGGACATGAGGCTGGCTAGCAACTCCATCGCATAAAAATAAACACCCCTGCTACCGGAACTTCAAATGTCTAGCTTGAAGGTGCCCGATGTTCCACTAGGAACGTATTATTGTTATTGTTTCCTTTAATTCCTAGAGGAACATAGGGCTTCAGCCGTGCGTCTCCATTGCGTTCGGTTCTCTGCTAGAGTCTTCACCTGGCTCCAATTCTGCCCACACGTTTTCATCTCCTCTTCACATGACCTCCTCCAAGTCACCCTTGGATGACCAACTCGCCGCCGCTTCCCATTCGGTTTCAACTCAAGGGCTTGTCTAGTGATGTCACTAGAAGGTTTCCTCAGAGTATGGCCAATCTATCTCCATTTCTTCCTGTCTATGTATTTCACAATCGGTTCCTGGTTGGTTCGCTCATTGCCAGAGATCTCTATTGCTGATCTTTTCTTACCATCTGATCTTGAGTATTTAGCGAAGACAGCTAGCTGTTGATGAAGGTCTGTAGTTTGTTTGAGATGCTCTTTATGACGCGCAGTGCAAGTCTCTGATCCGAACAGTAGCAGTGACTTCACATTGGAATTGAACAACTGGATCTTATTTTTGACACTGAATGCTGTTGACCTCCACACAGACTTGAGAGTAATGAAAGCTTACCTTGCTTTTCCGATTCTTGCTTTGATATCCTCGTCAGTTCCATCCGCCTGCAGTAGAGGTGGCTTCTTTCAGCTATCTCCCATTTATGCTGATTGTTTTCTGTTGTCTGTTGTTATTGATGATGCTATTGCTGTCGGCCGGGAATCTTCATCACCTACCTCTGCTTTCTCTATGTTCACCTGAAGTCCTGTCTTCTCTGGATGCTTCTTCTGCCAACTTGTTGCTTTTCACTTGCATATCTTCCAGTTTGTGGGAAATCAGACATATATCATCGGCGAAGTCCAGATCCTCCAAGTTTTTTGTGTTAGTCCATTTTATGCCTGTTTCTGAGTACTTTTGGTATAATGTAATTCCGCCACATTGGATGAGTTCATCGTGACACAGTACTAATCATTTGAATGACGTTTCGAGGACAATTTATTGCTGCTCATAATTATATCAGTGTATTTTATAAAGCTTGATAATTTCCTTTATATGCATTTTCTCTCCCACTCTGCCTTGTTGTTTGTTGTCACTTTGCGTATCTCCAATACAGGCCTTGTATCATTTGGACTGTATGTGTTTGGTGTTGATTCGATAAGCTTCAGTCACCTTTACGCAGGATTCTTTATGACGCTGGTATGCCTCCTTGCCTTCTATAACGGGGTGTATGACAAGTACATGTGTGACGAGAATGTCCGAAATGTGTTACACGTTTCAGATAAACTACGTCTTCTTATTTCGTTGTCAAATTTTGGAAACGGTATAAACATTATAGCGTGCCTTTATGACTTCAAGGATGCAGGGAAATAACTACCTGATATCCTCTGTGCTAGAAAGATATTTAGAAAATGAATTTCTGTTAGGTGGTTAGAGATAATCGACAGGTGGACGCCAAACTTAGATTTCGAACTTACTTGCACTTATCTCTAGGATATATTCGAAGCCTGGAAGGAACTGGCTTTCCCTCGGGGAATCGAACCAGCGTCACCCAATGCTGCAATCAGCGATACTGCTACTGAGCTATAAGAGGCGTGACTAACCTCTCTTAGGACTGTAATCTACATATTAATTAGTCATTGGTGAGTAATCAGTACCGTGTTTCTGATCTTCACTGTTCGTGACGACTTTCCATTGTGAAACACTTTCAACTGGTGTCAGACGATTGGAGGCAACCAGCAGAAGGCATCGAAATTTTGAAAATTCATTTATTTTACCACAGAATTTCATTCTCAAGATAGTTAACTCTCAAAAAATTCATCCCACTTACTTTATTTATTTGATTTTGTTTTAAATTAAAAAAAAGATTACAGATGTCTGTGTTAAAGTGTTCAACAGATTTAACTCGTTCAAAAAACCGCTTTACCAAATTTATTATCACCAAAATATCAAGTATCATCATTTACACGGTGATACATTTGAAAATAAATCAGAACAGTCGTCAATGTTGGATAGATTTTATATTCTCTCTGGAGGACCACATCATGGGGATAAATTTATGGTATGAATTATGCGTTTTTACAGCGTTTTATGTGTAATTATATGAATGTTATACGCCATGGTTATTTTTTAATTTTTCGCTTTATCAAGTATTAGCTTTGCAGTGATTTGATTGGTTAAAGATTCGATAACTAATAATAATAATTTGGTTTATTCTAAAATAGTACTTGTGATACAGAATGGAATTCTCAGCATTTTTACTACAGTATTGCATCCAGTTAGTACATTATCAATAAATAGAATTCTACATAGATTAAGGAAATCACAGTTCATTATTACAACAACACATTGGCATGTCGGTAGCAAAGCCAAAGTTGAACAGTGTTTGAAGGTGTTAGAAAAGTAGGTGCTATCATATTTACTGGCGTAAGCGAGAGAAAGAAACAAAGCAGCACATAACGAAAAAAGAGAAAAAGAGAGAGAGAGAAAAGGAAAAGAAAGAAAGAAAACGTTGTACCTATAAATGATATGAGTTGGAAAGACGAGATCCAGTTGTTCTACTGACTATTTAATGAATTATAGGTGTCACGCCTAATGCTTTCTTTATCACACAGAACACGAGCTAAGTAGGGTACGGTTGAGTTTTTGTACTTGCTGGTGCGAGCATATAGTTTTCTATATAGGCTTCTGGTTTTGCCTGATGAGATGCAAGGGGAGGGGAGAGTTGTGAGTGAGTAGGTTGGTGTGAGTTAGATAAAATAGATTTTGCCCGTTTTTCACAGGAGTCCATGTGCCTGTCAACCAGAATATTAACAAGCTGGTTAAGTGGCACGTTGCTTACCCTGCTGACAACATTTAACATCCTGCATAATATGTTATAGTCTTTCTTCAGTAGTCCGGGAAAAACTAAGGGGGAACAAAAGAGAATGATAGGCAGGATGCGAGAATTAACGAATTATAGGAGTAAGGGTTGGGTTATACCAGAATGTTTTAACTTCTTAATGTAGAAGGTAAGACGGAATATTTTCTTAGAAATCGCCAAGATATGAGACGACCAGGAGAGATCAGCAGATAGAATGACGCCTAGGTATTTAATTTCCGATTTGGTTTCTATTTCAGTGCCGTCTATGTTGCACACCTCGTGAGAGCCAACCAATTTGTTTAGGTCGGATTTATGCCTAAAGGTGAAATTGACTGTTTGGCATCTGGACGGGTTTGGGGTAAGACCGTTTTCCTTGGACCACTGGCTGATTTCTGACAGAAAGCCATTAACTTTAGAGCAGTCACTTTGACATTTGACAGGCAAAGATACTGTCAGGTCGTCAGCATATTTAACAAAATTAATGTCATTTGAACAGTTGACATCTGTTAGAGAACCATTGAAAAGCCAACTGAGGGGGAAGTGTTCGACAGCTTTGTCGTCCTAGTTTGTGACTCTTCATCAATGCGCACCCACCAAGATTACAAAGTGAACTTTTAGACCATCCAGCCACTGGGATCCGACTCAATAGCCCTACTAACTTACGACAATTACAGTGCAACCTCCAGCTCATGTCATCGACAAGTAACAGTCCTCTCGACTGACTTCATGGACCTCGTTGGTCATAACTTCTCATTAGAACTTTGGGTAACTTCTTGTATAGAACCCAGTCGCTAGAGAACACCAGATTAATTATCAAGTAATGGTTTTGCAGGTATTTGATTCGTGACAAGTTTGATAACATCAGTTAGAGGACCATTGGACAACTAACTAGGGAATACTGAACAGATGTTTTGTCTTAAAATCACCGAAAATACCCACTGAGTCATGAAGAAAATAAAAGACAAATTCAGTGAAGAAAATGCTTTTCTTTATTGATGAAATCATTTTCAGAGGCTGCACAGTCGTACTTATACTTACGAAAAAATATATAGTGGTCTATTATTGAGTAATAGGGGGTGGAGGTGATGTAATTGGTATAATTACTCAGAATTGGCTTTAGAAGTGAAAATTAGAAGTTGACAATTACGTGGTACTCAACGGAACAAAGATAGAAATTCGATAAGGTTAAAATTGCTACCGAGTGAGAAGAAAGGTGGTAGTTGAGTGTCAATTTAACAAGTGTGAAGAGGGTGTGAAAATGTACAAAAGGAACATATGCGAGTGATAATAGTGGAATAATTATTAAAGTACAAGCAAGCTGAAAGTAAAATAAAAAATAAAAAAATTAAATAAAAAATCAAATTTTTTTTACAGGGAACGACTAGTGAAGAGGTTAAGACCAAGGTAGAATAAGAGGAACTACTATTGATGTGCACTTTAAATGTCCAATTCAAGTTCAACAACAAGATTTATAGACAAAGAGATGGAGTGGCGATGGGGTCACTATTGGGTCCTTTACTTGCAGACTGCTTCTTGGCAAGTTTGGAGAAAAGCATTTAACAGCCTACTATCGATAGTTTCCATTTGTACCAAAGATAAATGGATGATAATTTCATCATATGTGACGACAATATCGACATCGAATTCATAACTGAAGAGTTCAACAGCTGCCATCATGCCATCCAGTTCACGTCGGAATCAGAAATGAACTCGGAATTCCATTTTTTGAATGTTTTTCTAAAAAGCAGATCTGATGGTTCTCTTCAAAAATCGATCTACAGGAAACCAACATGGAATGGTCAGTACACAAATTTCCATAGTTGGGTCCCTTTGAGAAGGAAAAGAAATCTGATCCACTCCTTATCCTCAAGAATAAGGAGGATATGTTCCAGTGATACAATCGAGGGGGAACTGGGGCGACTCAGACATGTCCTCATAGAGAATGGATATCCTCCAAGATATATCGAGAGAAACATGAAGTTAAGGGAAAAGCCTGAAAGAACTCAGACGCTACTAAAGAAACTGCTATTTATGAGTGTTGAATTTAAAGGTGATACCGCAGCTGAGATCCTGAAGAATCGCTTATGCAGATCACTGAGAAAAAACTCCCTCTTAGTCTGAGCTACGTATCAATTTCTATAGCCGACAAATGATCAATGGATGTGTGAAGGATAAACTGCCGCTATGGGGCGATTCTGTGTATGTTTATACATTCAACTGCTGCTCCTGCGGAACTAGTTATATTAGCGCACACTTTCCAAGAGCATTTCTGAACATTATCTGGCATGGTTGATTAGCAAAAGGAGAATGCAAGACATTTACTAGCTCAATTCTCGAGCATTTGGTGAACTCAGGCCACGTAGCTCCACCAGAGTCGTCTTTCAAGATTATGTACGAGGTGAGGGCAAATGGTACAAAGGGCATCAGGTTTCGGCTTTTTTGTATGATGGAGGCGCTGACAATTCATCAATACAACCTCGAACTCTGCATACAGAAAAAATTTGTCCAGTCTCTTATTCTACCTTCGCTGTAAAACACATTTGATTTTTTGATTTTTAAAGTTTAAATTTTACTTTTAGTTTGCTTTGCTTTAATATTTAATTCACTATTATCACTCTCACATGTTTCTTTTGTACATTTTCACACCCTCTTCACACTTGTTAAATTGGCACTCAACTATCAACTTTTTTCTCACTCGAATTGGTGCAAAACAATGACAGCTACATCATTTCACTTCCATCTCCTTTTGGGGACACGACTGAACACTACTGATCCACAACGGAAAACTCAGCGAGGCGTTCGAAGTGAATACATGAGTAAGATACGGCTGACTGCCTATTATCACCGATGATATTCTTAATTATGGTGGTCTGAATTATGCGGAAGACTGTGCACAGGGAGTGAGAAGATAGGATTAGGTTGCGCTGACCTATAAGAAGACTCTAGAAGATCCGGATTACGCGCGTGGATGATTTATGTTTAATGTCACATACAGAAACTCGATGACTTTCAGGTGAAAACCAACAAACTGGCAGAATATGCAGGCGGTGGAGACTGGACTCCAGGTGGACTTAGAGAAGGCGGAGGTGATGAAGATAACCAACCAACCACCAACAGCGACAACAGCCAGCAACATTCACCACCAACGGGATAAATCTAACACAGGTTACTTTTTTCTTCACTTATCTGACCAAGAAGCACTGTTCGAACCATAGGCAGATACTACGGATGAAGATGTTAAAGCCAGCCAAAAATCGGAAAGGCAAGATACGTCTTTATCAACCTGAAGTCAGTTTGGAAATCTTCTGCTATCATTCATTCAGCATAAAAAAGGGATTCGGATTCTGTTTAACACAAATGTGAAATCACTCAGTCAGTCATCTCTTCTATACGGGTCAGAAACTTGCACTGCATTTAACCAGAAGGATTTCCAACAGGTTGGAGACTTTTATCAACACTCCATTATGGATTATCAACAGTTGCCACCTTCGCCAGCTGGCTCCATCTCAAATGGCCAGCCAACCAGAAAGAATTAGCACCAACAAACTCTGACTGGGAACAAACCAACAGGCAAGAGCCGACTGCTCAACAAGTTGATATGTAGAAGGAAATGGAGATGGATTGGGTATATGTTGAGGAGGCCATCGAATGACATCGCGCGTAATGCAGGCGATTGCTGGAGTCGAACCCCAGTGGGAAGCAACCAGTTGGTCGTCGGGGTTTGACATAGAGGAGATCGTACGAGGAGGAGACGAAAGATTATGGTCGATCGTGAGGCCAGCTGAAATGGACAGCAGAAAATAGAAGAAAGAGGAGATGTGTTTTTGAAGCCCTACGTTCCCCTCGGAACCCAAGGAAATAATAATAATAATGTAATTGAACATTTCATTCCTTTAACCAAAGCTTCGCGACTAAACCAACCAGCTCAGAGAACACTTTTAATTGCAAATAAGTAATCCATTTTGTTTTTTCTCTTATTTAATGATACTAATCGTAAATCGCATTTGTTTTTTTAAAAATTACTTTTACAGGGATTCACGAAACAGTTGAAAATGTTTTTCACTGAATTCGGTGCTAGAAAATACTCTTCCGACAACAGCGTAAGTTTATGTTAACAGTCAGTTATAATACATCATCAAACAGACTACAATTCACGACTTTAATCATTTAAAACAATTAGTCCATTTAGTAAATTTAGATAGATGTTATTTGATTAAAGGTAATCGTCAGTAAGCCCTGGGGAACTGAGTTTCTTGTTCATTTGGTACTGATTAACAAAGGGGCTCTACTAATTCGTAGGGAATGATACTGTTATAACTGAACTGACCTATTGTCAATTTGTAATAACTCAACCGAACTGAATAAATCCGTTCGCTACTTTGTTATGTTTGCACCTGCTAATTACTATAACGGTAATGAACTCGACTGGTACGCTAATTACACGTCTATTTGTCCGTTGTACCTTCCGATTCACTGAGCCACGCAAAAGTATCAAAAGACAAAGGCTGGCCTATGACTGTAAGATACTGTATATTATACTATGCTGCATAGTTTAAGGAACAACACATGATATTTATACATTTTTTTCCTTCACGTTCCCCAGTGGAACATAGGGCTTCAAGCTAGTTGGCTTGAAGTTTCTGTAGCAGTGTTTATTTTACAGGATGGGGTTGCTAGCCTCATGCCCAACCTTTCCTCTTCACCAGCATTATTTCTAGCTTAGCGAGGTAAAGGAGTGCGTCGGCCGGGAATCGAACCCCGGACCATGTGCATGGTCGGCGAGCATCCTAACCGCTATGGCACCGACGCACAAAAAGTATGGAATGCTTCACGATTTTACGTGTCATCCTTTCTTAACCAACCATAATGAAGTCGGTTCACGACCGTGAGAATTTATTGTTCTTATTGGTTGGAAATATCTATGTTGATTGGTTGACGATCTGACAAAGACCAAGGTGAGACAAAATAAGTTGAATTGGTCACACATTAAATCACGTTAAATCAATACTCATGAGAAACGATACATTTACGATTTGTGAGAAATGATGTACTACTTTATGCTTGGTCCTATCAGATGCCCTCCATGAACTTCAAGCATCCATTGCTCAGGGGATTGATGGTAGATTTAGGAGTATAGAGGATGATAACTGACGCCATGCTCGGTAATACAGCAAGATACGGATTATGCTGTAACGGAATGTTACTGATTTGTGAAATCATCTCACTGGCGTAGAATGCTCCTCCAGACACGACACTATAAGCAAATGATCACTGGAATTTACTACCATCGCTGAGAAAGTCACCAAGTTCAAACTAGGAAAAATGAGGACCAGGATTACGAAAATAAAAAAACCAACAACCTCAAGAACCATTGCAACATTTATTCGATAGCTATTCTAGTTGTTCACTGGTGCAGCTTAATGTCAAGGAAATGTTACCTCGATTGTATAATTCTATGTGTATTTATATGTTCACCTGCTCTTGCGGAGCTAGGTACATAGGATGTTCGTCGAGAAATATATCTCTCTGTCGCGTTCGTAAGCACCTCGCAGTTTGTCTGAGCAAAGGAAAACGTAGAGGTATTCATCGATATTGCAACATTTTTTTGGATACTGACCACCACGCAGCATCTGACACATCGTTTAATATAGTCTACAAAGTTCGACCAAATTTGCCGAAAGGGACACGAGAGCGTTTGCTTTGTACAGCAGAGGCTTTAGCAATCCAGTAACATAAAGCCAGAAGTTTGTGTACAAAAACAATTTGCACGATATCTTTCGTTACCATTGCCTTGATGTTACTGTGTGATTCACAAAGAAAATCTTTGTTATCCCTCTTTATTCTGTGTTCCATTTTTGTTGTATTTTATTTTATTTCACTTTTTGTTATCATATTCTAACATTTTATCTAGTTCACTATTTTGACAACATTTCATTCATCCATCCATGTTATGTTCCCCTCATATTATATTCACATATTCACACTTCCGAATGTACTTTATTTTCCCAGAATCTATTTCACAATTGTCTACTGAACTTTAGGTTGACCTCTGTTTATTCCTTTATTCATTCATATATCTAACCTGTGTTAGGTGTAGATTGGATGAACAATGATTCAGTAATCAACCTTTCCCTCTCTCTCCATCTATCTATATTAATTTTTAGAATTGTAACTCTTTAAAAATTTACAGCAATTAGTTTTCTTTATGAATTTAGGCAATGCAGTATGAAGACGTTATTTGTTTGAATCGGATTTTCAAATCCAATGTGAAGTCAGTGCTACTATACGGATAAGAGACTTGGCCAGCGCGTCATAAAGAGCATCTCAAACAAACCACAGACCTTCATCAACCGCTAGGTGTCTTCACTCAATACTCAAGATCAAATGGCCAGAAAAGATCAGAAATAGGGATCTCTGGGAGCGAACCGACCTAGCAGGAACCGATTGTGAAACAAATAGGCAGGATGAAATGGAGATGGATTGGCTGGCCATACTTTGAGGAAACCACCAAGTGACATCACTAGACAAGCCATCGCTCGAGTGGAACCCGAGTGGGAAGCGGCGAGTTGGACGTCCAAGGGTGACTTGGAGGAGGTCATGTGAAGAGGAGATGCAAACGTGTGGGCAGACACGGAGCCAAGTGAAGATTGTAGCAGAGAACCGAACGCAATGGAGACGCACGGCTGAATCCCTATGTTCCTGTAGGAATTAAAGGAAATAATAATAATAATATGTAATGTGAATTCTGTCAGTAACGTTTGCAGTTCAGTCTGCACGGAACAAAGGACCAGACATATCACACTAGTTAATCACTAATGTCCAGTCAAAGGTTACGTTTATGCCTAAATGTGAAGTTAGAACAGCAGGAGGCAATACACGGAAGCAGAATCAGACGTCAGTGAACTACTATTTCTAGACTGCTTAATTAAGAGGAAGGAAAACCGACATTTTAGTATATACATATTTAGGAAGAAAACCCACTCCAACAACAAATATTTAGACTTCGGATCATCACACCCCATCAGCACAGAGGTATCAGCTGTTTGAAGACTTCTTAGACGAGCACACTCTTTGATAATAACGGGTGAGAAAGAAAAAGAAGAAGAAATATCAAACATTACTGAGACCCTCAAGCAAAACAACTACCCAAAGAACTTCATCAACATAATGAACACTGACATTGAGTATGGTCAAAAATGTGTTCCGAAAACATGGACCTCATCAGTTGTCATTCCATATAGAGCAGAGACGTCAGACGATATCAGAAGAATACTCAATAAGCTCGACATCAGAGTATTCTTTAAAACATCAAACACCCTACAAAGCCAGTTTGTCTATACAAAAGATCAAATCCCTAAAGATTCTCTACCTAATTGTGTCTACACAATAAAAAATGCTTGGAATGTTATTCGATATAGCTCGGACAAACATCGCCAAGGAGAAATAAATGAGAAAAAATGAACACCTTAGAGCATCTGTTCGAACAGCGAGAAATCCAGTTAGTGAACTAGAAAAACTTGAAAAATCGTCAGCCATATCTCATCTGCACGCTATAGAATCAGGTCACAAAATTGATTTTGACAATATTGAAATAATCCAGGAAAACTTCAAAAACCACAAAGAACGTCTCATATGATCAGAAGCGCTTCATATCAAATGGAATCCAAATTGTCTGAATAGGAATGATGGACTAAAACAGAATTTAACCTGGTTACAACACCCTCTCACCCTCCCCCATGAAATAACAGAATCAACACGAATGTGATGCGCAATTTCACTATGTAAACACACACTGCTTTTATAATTCTACACACTTATCAAATCCAACAGTAATCTACACTTGGTTTTGTTATCTTTATCAATTGACCAACTTGACAACAACAAAAAATGATCCCATACTGACGAACGATGATCAAGTTAGTAAAATTTGTTTTGATACCAGCCAGGGTAGATGTACTATTACTTCTCTTATTTAGTTTATTGATCTTCGTTGTTATTTTGACTTTCAATATGTCCTTTTAATTGGGCCTAACTTGTCTTTTTTCTCACCTCTTAAATCTTTTTTATGTACATACTGAGATTTTATAAATTCTGGTTTAATAATACTTTGATGAAGCTATTAGCACCAGCACTAAATTGCTAAACGGTAGTAAAAACAGCAATATGGTTTTGTTTTCCATTCATTGGGAAACACAGAAACTTTTATTATAATTAATATCATATACTCAATGCCCAAATTTTTCACTGAGTGTGTGATTTTGGTTTACATTTGACAACGTGAAATAGAATGTTTAAACACATATATTATTCTGTTGGTAATGCAGTAATGAATTGTGGGAATATGTGAGAACAATACTCCGTTGGAACACATTGTCTGTATCACACCGCCACAAAGCAAACTATCTGACAATCACAGTAGCTTCTTTATTCAAGAAAACTTAAAGAAAATCTTCTTGAATATTGAAAAATTACCGTTTGAGTGAATAAGATTATTCTATTCATTTCAATTTGGACTATCCAGTTGATTGACTGAACCGAAGTGTGCGGATGCTTCGACGATGTCTGATCACTCAACTTGAAGTAAATTGGTGGACGGTGATTGACAATAAAATCTAGGATGAACATTCCGTCCAATTTGAGATTTGTTGGGTGGATTTACCTATCCCCAATGAGTGATAGTGTTTCGTTTGACAAGAGATACCTGTTGTGGCTCAAATAGGTAACCCCTTGGCTTTTAAAACCATGGGTACAGGATTCGAGATTCGGTGGGAACGCCTTGACTCATTTGGGATTACAGGTACGCCCATGTGGATGACGAGTCCCATATACTGCGAAATGTGCACCATGGATTCCACTGCCAATTACCATCCACCAATTTACTTGAAGATTGCTCTATGTCACCGTATTGTCATAATATATTAAAAGTGAGCATAAACGTTTGTCGCGTACTGAATTTCCTGTACAAATGAGTAGCATTTGTGTTTTGTACATATATTTTCAAAACTTCACAAGGGATTTTATTGTAATTCACTGTTGTTCTTACATTTTTGGATAGCATTTCAAATCATGTGAATATGGAATAAGCCTAGAGAATATTACAAATGAATGGAAGAAATTGAATTTGTTTGACCAAGCAAACCAAACAGGTGAGTAAATTTTAGTAAGTAGGTAGGCAGCTGTGTAGCTTCTTGCCTATGAATTTGGTTTTTCTGATAACAACCAATAAAAACCTTTTCATTATTTATAATGAGAAACCTGTGGACATACTTTATTTCCTAAGATTTCCTCCAGACAGATAATGTAAGCTTCACAATTAAACTACCCATCCAGTTGACGAGTCCCAAATAGGACGAAACGCGCGTTCTGGATTCCATTGCCAGTCAACATCCACCAGTTAACTTCTAGTTGCTTGCCCAGACATCGTTGATGCATCTGTGCAAGAAGCCGACATGTCAACCTGAGACCGAGCACTTCGGTCCAGTCAATCGATGGGAAAATCTAAAATTCAATTACATAATTATTTTAACCCGTTGCACAAGAGGTGGCTCTGGTGGCCCGAGTGGTGTAGTGGATAACGCTTTGGCGTTTGGAAATATGGACACTAGGTTCGAGGCTCCGTGAGAACATCACCACTCACTGGGGAATGCAAGTGCATCTAGCGGACGAGTCCCAAATAGGACGAAATGCGCATCCTTGATTCCACCGCTGGTCGCCATCCTCCAGTTAAATTATATCCATACAGAAGTTCCACCTTACAGGTGTTGAACAGACTTGGGGAGCACAGACGGAGTGTGAGTTTTCTTTTGGATGATAATACTTTTTGCTTGATTAGATGAATCCCACAAGACGGCCTTGAGCCCGATATCACTCAGTGGTCTCTTCAGGATTTGTCTAAACCATCTTCAATTCCTTATGCATATTTGTTAGTCAATAGGTTGTTGGTTAGTTCTCTGCCTGATAAATTTCCTTGTTGTTCATTCCTTTCAACCGGTCATCTAGTCTTCAGCATCAAGCGAAGTGGGCAGACGTCGACGAAAGTCTTCAGGAATTTGTTGGAAATTCCTTTATTGGCGCGCGCGTCAAGTCTCTGAACTATAAAGAAGCAGAAAATTGACATTGTTGTTGAAAATTCGGATCTTTTTCTTTTCGCTAAGTGCTGTTGAATAGATCTATACAATAATTCCTGATTAATGCTTTCCTGTCTTGATTTTTGTATCCTATTCGGCTTTGAAATCTTCATTCGTAATTGAAAATATCCTTCCAAGGTGAGAGAGACGAATTCTTCTGGATTTATTCTTCTTTTGCTGATGGCTATTTTTTGTAGGTCAGGTATCTTCACCACCTTTGTCTTATTTACGTCCACGTGGATTTCTGTCTTCTCTACTTTCTCTAGTAGCCTGTTGGTTTATTCTTGCATAATTCCAAGTTCGTGAGACATTTGAGATAGTTCATCCACGATATTCACATCTGTTAAGATGTGTTTGTCGCTCCACCGTACACCCTGCTTCTGAATTCACCAGTGTCTACCGTATGAGCCAGTTCATCATAATTAGAAAGATTACTGGTGACGGAAACTTGGCGTGTCATGAAAAGGATTTCCACCAGGGCACTTCAGACTTTCACCAACAGCTGCCCACTTCGCTGGTTCCATAATGAAGATCAAATGGCAGGTCAGAAAGAATTAGCAACAAGAAACTATGCAAAGAAACCAACAGGCAAGAGCCAATCTCTCAACAAATATGTAGGAGAAAGTGGAGATGGATCGGGCACACATTGAGGAGGCCGCCGAATGACATCGCACACCAAGCAATGACTGGAGTGGAATCCCAATGGGAAGCGACAAGTGGGCCGTTGGTGCGAGGGTGGCATGGAAGACATTGTGTGACGAGGAAGAGATGCGAGAGTTTGGTCAATCCACGACCAAGCTGAAGAGAACGACAGAAAACAGAACGAAGTGGAGATGTGTTATTAAAGCCCTACGTTCCACTTGGAACGCAAGGGAATAATAATAATAATACTAGTGACAGTATTTTCAATTTTGACCATTCATATTATTGCCAACCTTTATATAAATATGACGAGTATTTGTATTACCAGAATGTCTAAAATCTGTTCCCGAAATAAGCACATTTTACATTATGCCAGATGCACAACATCTTCCAATTATTTTGTCGACAAATTATCCTTATGACAGTTTCAGATATGAGACTATAGAAGTTAATGTCAGGAAAGTTTTTGACTCTTATGAGATCCATTACAGATACACAATCGATTTGCCTTCTTTTCAATAAGAACGGATATGAAGATCCAATCTAAACACTAAACACCGTAAATACCCACTGAGTTATGAAGGAAATAAAAGACAAATTCAGCGGAGAAAATTCTTTTCTTTATCGACGAAATCATCTTCGTAGGCTGTACAGTTGTATATAACTTATCAAAAATGTTTAGTAGTCCATTAGTGAGTAATAGGGTGAGGTGACATAACTGATATAATTACTCGGAAGTGACTTTAGAAGTGAACATTAATTAAGTTGTAAATTACGTAATACTCAACGGCACAAAGGAAGGAAGCGTTAGAAATTTGATCAGGTTAAAATTACTATTGAATGAGAAGGAAGGCAGTTGAGTGTCTACTTAATAAGTGGGAAGAGGGTGTGAAAATGTACTGAAGAAACATGTGAGAGTGATAAGAGTGAATTAATTATTAAAGGAAAACCAAAATAGTCGTTCAAAATATAAAAAAAATAAGAAATTTACAAGGAACGACTAATGAGGAGGTTAATACCATGATGGAATAAGGGGCTGGACAAATCTTTTCCTCATAAAGAGTTTGGAATTATAGTGACGAATTGCCAACACCTCTGCCATACACAAATGACGAAATTTGACACCCTTTGTACCATTTGCCCTCACCTCGTAGATAATCTTGAAAGACGACTCTGGTGGAGCTACGTGGCCTGAGTTCACCAAATGCTCGAGAATTGAGCTAGTAATTGTCTTGCATTGTCCCTTTGCTAACCAGCTATGCCGGATAATGTTCAGAGATGCGTTAGGTAAGTGTATGCTTTGTGAGGCCAATATAACTAGCTCCGCAGGAGCAGCAGGTGAATTTATAAACACACATTGAAGTGGCCCAAAACGGCAGTTTATCCTTCACATATACATTAATCATTTGTCAGGTGTAGAAATTGATCCGTATCTCAGCCGAAAAGAAAGCTTTCCTCAGTGATCTGGGTAAGAGGTTCTTCAGAATTTCGGCTTCTGTATCACCTTTAGATTCAACGTTCATGAATATGCAGTTTCTTCGGCACCGTTTCGGTTCTTTCAAAACACTAAAAGAGTGTAGACATTATTATTATTTTGAAGATTAATGTTATAGGGTTTCGATTAGTAAGTGGTAAGTGTTTATAACTGTCTGGAATAATGTAGTTCCACAGTGTATTGTGGAGGATGTACAGCTTTATGCCTAAGATTATGTTTGGTCCATTTTTTACTACTTACAAATTGTAAGATATTACTAAATAGCACATATTTTCAGGCATTTCACTCTTATAATAGCTGACGAGCTCAAAATAAAAATATTATTATCTGCTTCAAATCTAATTAGCAGTAAAAGGACGTCAGCATAGAACTGTCACTAAGCCTCAGTCACTGTAACTTCCTTGGTGGAAACCATAATTCACAACTTTTAACCTCAATTCTGATAAATTTAGCAACATAAGAGTAGAAATTTTGACACTGTGAGAGAATAGAATTCCAAATTAAATAAGTTCATTTGACACCATATTAATAATTCGATGACGTGTTGAGCATAGTTTATTGCTCATAATCATATCATTGTGTAACGATCGAAGACAAATGCCAGGCAACAGATCATTTATTCAGAAAATCAAGAGATATTCATAGATTTTTATGTACATTATTATTAGCGTTATTGTTAACAGAGAAGCAACCTATTCTGATTGGTTGTTTTCTTGCTGAAGTCTATTCTTTACTGCTTGTAACCGTTTCTCAGAAAGTTAAGCCATACATCTGCGAATTGTATTTGCACATGTTAAGTTTCCTGTGTGATTGGTTGGTGATTTTCTCAAGGTTAAGCTTCGTTATTGCTTTTATTTCTCGTGATCCTGCTTCGGGACGTAACATTGACGCCAAATGCTGTCAATAATTTTGGCTTGTTCGCAGCCAGCTCTCACCACGATTGTATTCCCAAGGATAAAAATAAGTTAGGGTTATTGTTGTCAAGACATTTCGAAAGTGTGATGAATAATCAAATTGTAACTAAGGGGGGGGGCATAAAGATTGTTAAGAGGGTAGTGGTGATGCGCTGTCAAAAAACATAGTTATTAAGGTCAATCAACAAATAAAAGAAGTTAAATAAGGATAATAATAATAATTTACTTTATTCCAAAAACAGTACTTATAATGCAGAATGGAATTCTCAGTATTTGTCACAATATTGCATCTGATTTACTCAAAATGTACATAAAATTAAAACAAAAATTAATCGGAGGAATTTGCCCACATTTACGACATAATTATTAAATATAATAATAATAATAACAGTGAGTTTGATTCAAACGGTATTGTCGATTCAGTTTGGAAACTTTAGCATGTTATAGATTATTGGGTTTAATGTTCTGTTGATATGGTATAGTGAGGAGAAATACAAAATTAACAGTTATAATACAGCTTCAAATTATGTCCACACTTATGAAAAAAAATAAACAAAACGAAAAAATTGAGAGGATTATAAATATAAGAAATACAATAACGATAAAGTTGGATGTTGTAAGGGTGGATTATTTAGTGGTGCTAAGAAGGTTAGTCAGTTCATTTCTCACGCTATTTTCATCACATAAAGTACGTGTTAAATATGGTACAGTGGAATTTTTATACTTAGACGTACGTGCATAAGTTCTTCTGAAAAGACTTCTTGTTTTACCTGAGGAGACACAAGGTTGGAGATGTGGGTAGATTGGGTGCTCACAGTCTGACAAAATTCCGTTAGCAAATTTGTTGCATGACATCAAGTGCCTATCAGTGACAATGTCAACGATATGGCCCAACGGGATTCCACTCGTCCTACTGACAGTCTTCAGAGTTCTACGAAGTATGACATAGTCTTTTTTAAGCAATCCAG